ACATGGGCTACCTGTTGTTTTTCATCTTTTTCCTGTTCATTACATTTCGTGCCAGAATCAAATTACATGTGACCTTGAAGCGTCACCAACTGAGGAATTCTTTGCACTTCATCCGCAGGATCAAGCTAAGTTTTTCCACGAAGGTAACTATACAATATATAGCTACACGAAAGCATAATTTTATTTTTATCGAGGATGTTGCGTATTGAATGGTTATAATCARCACACATTCTTATATGAATTTCGAGTAATCAAAGCCGACTGAACTCTCTTACCTCCAAACCTTGTTCACCTTTGTTCATCGTGTTCACCTTGTTCACCTTGTCTGACTGCTGTTTATATCTCAGTACAGAAAGGTAAAACGTTATGAAACCAGCTGCATATAAACAGAAAATGTAGGGATGATCGTGTAGTTTTTTTACTTATTGGTTAAGTAACCATCACATAGATATCAATCTGTATGTTCATGCACAATTAAGTCTCAAGTGTCATATTTCAATCAACTTTGTGAATAGATATATGTCGAACAAGAAACAATAAAGTTTTAGAAGCATCAAAAACCATAACTTATTACTATTGCTATGCTATATATATGTCGTGTACGCTTGCCTTATGATACGGAATCCAATAACGGGAAAATTTGAGCAATGGAATATGGAATCCGGATAGTTGGAACTATCCAGAATCCGCGAAAATGGCATCGGAATCTGGTACAAGAGGATCTGGAATCCAATTTAGTGCCTTCAAATGTTTTCTAAATAAAGTTAAACTAGCCAATAGACATTGTGGACCAATTTGAATATTATAGCTTTCGTCCATAGACTCTTAACGCCCTCTTGAAAGTTTGTCGTACATGTGTGCTTAAAAAGGATGCAATCGATGAAATAATATAGKTATATACCAATTTGTGCATCTGTAGACAACAACAGTAATCCAACTAACAGTCCTTTTTACCACTAGGAGATAATAGTTGTATAAACTGAGGAAAAAGTGTCATTGGCAAGATGTCCAGAATGAGCTATGAGCATAAACCCCGTTTGACCCCCATGGATGGTCGACTGTGGCACCAACTNGCTTTGTGAACACATCTACAGTAAAAGCTCCCACCCAAATGGCTGTTTCCGAGGCGTTATGCGAGGGTGTTTTTAAAATCTGGGAAAAAGAAAAGTGCACAGTGTGCTTACTCAATCCGGTTTTGGTCCAAAAGCTCTTAACGGGCTCGATGCACCTAAAATATGACCTTAGTCACATTGGTGTGTTTAGTATGATTGGTCAGCGGTACAGCTTGGATACAGTGGCAGCACTCACCAAAATATTCCCTAAAGTAGCAATAGTACTATCGTATTCGTCTTCGGAGTCGTGGTTACTTGCGAAAATGATAGTAAACAAAGAAACTGCTGTAGAAGAAAAGTACGCCAAACTGACCATTGAAGAAGGTGTTGAAGTTAAAATTGTCGACGAAGAAAGTAACTTGGTATCAAGAGGAACTCCTGGAGAGATCTGTGCGCGAAACGCCTCGGTATTTTTGGAATACTTGGGTAGCCCTGAAGCTACCAAGCGAACCAAATCATCGACAGGCTGGGTTCACATGGGAGATACAGGAATAATGTATGATGATGGTAAGATCGAGGTGATTGGAAGAAAGACAGAAATTATCAAACGAGCAAGCGTGAAGATTTTTCCTGCCCACATTGAAAAAGTTCTGTTGCAGCACCCACAAGTGTCAGATGTTGCTGTGGTTGGAATCCCTGATCAACAGTTACACGAGGAGGTCTGCGCATGCGTAATTCTACGCGAAGATACACGTGAATGTGATGGTTCGGACGAAGAAGCAAAAATTCTAGAGATAAGAGAATGGTGCAAGAAACAGTGGCCTCCTGGACCAGATGGGCTGAGCTTGACACCCAAATATTTTCTTGCAATGAAAAAGTTCCCCGTATTAGAAAGAACAGGAAAGACCTTTGTGCGAGGAGTTAAGGATTATGCTTTAAAAAAGCTTAACGTTTAGTTAAAGGGAGAGTGGCTATTTTCAATCGAAACTTTGATGGTGAATATCATGTTAATCCAGTTGCATACTTCGAAGTATTGGACGGTGCTTAACGTTCCAATCCCCTTGTGAGTATATATCTGACTGAGTTAAATCAAAATATAGATATGAAAGAAAGTTCTTGTAAAAGTAAGTTATAGTTTAATCACATAGAGTCGAGACATAAAAATCGACGGTTAGTGACTTTAGTGAATAAAATGTGTTTCATAAAATGTATGATTAAAGGGGAAAGTCAAACAGCATCCCTTACGAACTTTTGTTTGTGCTTTGGAAGAATTAATATTTTAAAAATCATAATTAAACGATAACGTACTTTTTACAATCCCTTAATTATGTTATACAAGTGTTAAAATCGAATTCTAAAACCAAAAAATCCAAAAAAGTCGATTTTTTAAATCACCTCATTTTACATGTATCATGAAAATACCATCGCAATGAATGCCGGATATTTATGCCCCTTCTCAGTTTCAACGCTTTTTATTGGATTGCTCAAGATGTTCTCTGTCTTTTGAAAAACGTTTATTCAATATTTTAAAAGATATCCCTCTGAACATTCCTCTTGTACAGTTTTTTTTTTTTTTGGTCATTTTAACATTTTATTTATTTATATAATTATTTTTGCTCTTTTCTCTGAAATGGGCTGCCTGTGGTTTTTGATATTCATTACATTGCGTGACAGCATCAAATTATGCATGACCTGTAAACGTCATCAACCAAGGTATTCTTTGCACTTCATGCCAAGGAGCAAGTTCTCTTTCTATTTGCCTTACTAAGGTAAAAATACAATAGCTATAGGAATATAGAGCGAGGATGGAATGTATTGCATTGTTATAATTCACGCATATCCAAATAATTTCGAGTAACCAAAGCCGACTAAACCATCCTATCTCTTCACCTCTTGTCGTAATCTTGTCTGAAATCATGGTATTGTTTGTATATGAGAATCATATGACTTCGTACAGCTACAACGTTATGAAATCAGCTCCATACAAAACCTACGATGTAGAGATGATACTTTCTTTAATTAATTCTTTAACCTGACGAATGCAAATCAACATTTATCTTCATGCATAATTAAGAATGCGGTATCTATTGTTCAAGTGCTTTAATAAGATCAAATT